GAGAGAGAGAGAGAGAGAGAGAGAGAGTGTGTGTGTGTGTGTGTGGAGAGAGAGAGAGAGAGAGAGAGAGAGAGAGAGAGTGTGTGTGTGTGTGTGTGTGTGTGTCCATCCTTCCCTTGTTTAGTTGTAATTCAGGGAAACATGAAACTATTTCCACAGTTGCCAGTTACCTGCAGCTGAAACAAAGCCACCCACAATTGCTGAAGGAACTCTGCAGAGGTTGGAGGGGGCTACCAGATGATAAGTGCAGTTGGTGGCAAAGATAGGGAAGGAGACAAATATGTAGCTGGGAGAAGGTATCGAGTGGGGTTCTCCAGGGTTCTGTCCTGGGCCTGGTATTGTTCACCATCTACATTAAGAATTTGGATGATGGGATTTGAGTGCAGGCTTAGCAAATCTGCAAATGACACCAAGTTGGGTGGAGCTGCAGACACTTTGGAGGGCAGGGCTAGGATTCAGAATGACTTGGATAGACTGGAGAAAGGGTCCACAGTCAATCAGATGAGATTTAGCAAGGACAAGTGTAAAATCCTCATTGGGACAGAATAATTACATGCACAAATACAGACAGGGGAATGACTGGCTAGGCTGCAGTACTGCAGAGAAGGAAACTCTCAAGAGCAGGTTGGACAAACACCTGGATGGGATGGTTTAGTCAGGGATGATCCTGCCTTAAGCCAGGGTCTGGACTAGATGACTTTGTGAGGTCCCTTCCAGCCTTACACCCCTATGAACATATCGTATGTAGTGAAGACAGTATAGAAATGTAAGGTGTTGCTGTGCTATTGATTCAAAGTTGAAATGCATTACATAAGCTGGGGTCCTGTTTCAGCCCAGCCTTACCTGTTACCACTGTGTAGCTCTGCTGAGATCAGTGAAGTCAGGCGGCAGCACACCAGGCCCTGCCAGCCTTATCAGTATGCAAAGACTGACAGAGGGATGTACACCGATACAAATCCTAGTGAGGGCAGTGTCACGGACAGGGCTGGAACAAGGCTCTGTCTCTTGCTGTAATGAGTCTTTATAGCCCGGCTTTCTTCCCATGCCAGTAGTTTTGTGGGGAACTGGTTGACTGTCTTACACTTTCCAGATCAAAAATGCACTTCATCTGCTCTTGAGTTGTGGGATTTCCCTGCTTTCAGTAATGAAGCTATTCACGCTATTTCAGTCTATAACCCTGCCAGCCCTGTGAGATGGCAAAGGTGTGCTTTTCACAGGCCGATGAAATGCACAAAATACTGCATGGAGTTACTGAACGTCAGAAATAGTCTGTTTACTGTAATGCTGGGAAAGCCATTAAAAGACTCACCTTTCAACCAAGCCCATGTAAGAGGCTTAAAACTCACACCTTCAAAATGAATCCTTCGGGAAAGCTGTAGACAGGCTGAACAAAAACAAAAAACAAATGCCGCAGGCAACTAAAAGGAAAGGAAAATGAACATGAAGCTGTTAAAGGTGGGGGGGTTTATGAGGTGAAATCACGGACTGGGAATGAAACCACAGTGCCTCATACTGGGCAATGAAGGTGTGCAAAGGGGTGCTGAATAAGGACCAGGGGCTGGTGGTCTCTATGCATGAGAATAGACCGGGGTGTCGTACACCTAAAGGAAAGAGACAAACCATTTCAGGCCATGCTCAGAGGGCAGGGGAGTTACTAGCACTGCAGCCTCTGGCCCAGGTCCAAGTTTAGCCCCTACATTTTCTTTCCAGTAAAGCTGGAGGGCATGGGCGTGGAGCAGGCCATGCAGCTGCACTTCCAAACTCATGGAAACTATGGTGGGAAATAGGAAAAGCCCCCAGTGTGTTTTGCACTAAGTTAGCTCAGCTTGGGAGGCCTGGACTTCTGATTAACGGGCCAAATTGCTCCCTCACCTGCAAGTGTGGAGCTCCCATTGTCACAGTGAGACCTGCAAGCACCTACTGTGTTTGCTGGGAAGCGCCAGGGCCCGTCTGCCTGCTTTGCTGGTGGCTGTATTCCCTCCCACGCGCTGCTGCTTATACCCATGACTCCTGTTTCTGGATGTGGGCTTGCAAAGTCTGTGTGCCTGATTCACTGCTTTGCTTCTCCAGTTTCACTCCAAACTGACACCAGTGGAGTTACATCAGCATAAAACCAAGATAGCTCAGCAATGCACCAGGCCCTCTACATGTTGGGACTGCACTGACATCATGTCTCTTCCTTTAGGTCTTGATCCAGGAAAGGGATTAAGCAGGTGCTGAACTTCAAGCGTGTGAGTTGTCTCATTGAAACCCAAGGCCCAGCCCAGATGTACAGGCACATGCAGTTTGTGGTGCCGCAAACCTCTTTGTGGTGCCACAAACTGCACCTGTTAAACTGTGCACGGTGCTGCTGACTTGCAGTGCCAGGGCAAAATTTGCTACCTGGATTTCCTGGTAGCAAAAAAACCCCCCAAAGAAAAGGTGGTACAAAGCACACCAAAGTGGCGTGCACAGGGGCAAATGTGGAGACAGGGGAGCAGGTAACCCAGGGCTGCCTGCTCTTTCTCTCCCTAGTGCAGTTTGCCTCGAGATGGGGGAGCAAGTAGCCCAGGGCTGCCTGCTCCCCTGTCTTGAGGCACACTGCGCCCCAGCCAGATGGGGAGTGGCTGGCCTGGGCGCAGGGTGCCTCAGTGCATGGACTCTGTAGTGTGTGGAGCTGGGGGAGCAGGCAACCAAAGGCTGCCTGCTCCTGTCTCCACATGCCTCTTCCTGCCTGGCTGGGGTACAAGGCATCCTGTGCCCCAGTCAGCCCCCCCTGCAGCACATGGAGTGTGTCCCGCTGCAGAGCATGTGGGCAGGGACATGGACAGTGGCACAAAGTAGCGGCACAAATTTGTGCTGCTGCAAATGCACACCCCTGCTCATGTGGACACGGCCCCTGGGACTAACTCTCATGCTTAGAATGAAGCCCCTGCTCAGGTCTGTATTGGATTGAGGCTGACAAGCTGGACCCACAACGTCCAGGCACTTGCAGAACCCTCATCACCCAGGGGAGTATTATCCCATTTTACAGATGGGAAACTGAGGTACAGTGACCTGCCCATAATCCTTCAGATGAAACCTGAGCTGGGAGTTGAGAGCAGCCCTCTGAGCTTCAGCCTGGTGCCTTGACCACTGCTGACTCCTTCCTGCCCTTTCTGAGACAGAGGTGGCCACTCCTTTGGCCCGCTGGTCCCTGCAGTGAGCCCCTGCTCCCAGACAAAGCCTTTTTTAGCCCTCTCTGGGGTCTCTGTGAAAAACACCAGCACGGCGGGTTCTGCAGGTGTTCAGTGGAGCACTCAACTTCATGCCAAAACCTCCCAGTGCCAGATTTCACAGACACTTAATTCAAGCCCTGAAATGAGGGAGGCTGATCCTCCTGACAGCTCTGTGAAATCCTGCAACCTCAGCAATCGCCTTAATTGCCTTAAAGGCTTTGTGTTCTGTTCTGGGTGAGGGGCGGCTGCACTCCCACAAGGCTTCTTCAGCTTGTAACTCATCCGCGGCTGACTGAATAACAGTGTTTGACAGAGGCCGTTGTATCTACGTTGTTGCCTGCATTCTGAGGCGATAAGAATTTCCCCCGTGGCATTTTGGCAGGAGCTGGTGTTTTGAACAAGAATCATGTCTTAGGGTTGGGCGAGTGTGTTCCACGTGGTTGGTTTTGCACCACGGCAGGAGCCTTGGGTGCTGACAGGCCTCAGTCCTGTCTGGGATATATTTCTACACCCTCACCTCTGCAGCCCCTATTTTGCAGGTGACACGTCCCCATGTGTAGTTCCACCAGCACACATCATGCAGCACACTGTTTGCAGGGTCAGACTCTCCCTCCTGCTGGAAATGCACAGCCTGGCTTTATGCTCTAACACTTTGTGCCTTCCTGTCCCCAAGCCCTCGAAAGCGGAATCACCAGGAACGCAGGAACGTAAAAACCAGGTACAGTCAGCTCAGTGCAGCACTCACTCCAACCTGCCTTCGTGTCTCCTTCTCCATGGGAAGGAAGCTTCCATCATGCCATCTCCTTTACATTGTCATGCACTTTATCGGGACACCGGGACATTTCCAGCTCCTTCGTACTCACCAGCATCTCTTTCCATTGATATTTGCCCACCACTGGGCATGTCTACATGTGCTATTAAGGTGAAGCAATAAACTCTGGCGCAGTTCATGCCATAGTTCTTTGCTCCCAGGTGCTGTGTTTATACATGTGCCTGAATCCGCAGTATATCAAGCTGGGTTGGAGCAGCCCCAGCTGGCAGGAGGCCCAGGAGGTCAGCCTGCCAGCCTGGTGCTGCTTGGACCCGGCTCAACATGCTGTGGAGGGGCTGGTTGGGGCATGAGGATGCTCTAGTGTAGGGCCAGCCAGCAGGCAGCCCCTGCACTGAAGCACTCTTGTGCCAAGCCAGCCGTTTCAGTGTCTATGCGTGGGGTGCTGTGAAGTAAAAAACTCCACAGCAGGGTCGTATTTGTAGTTACAAGTACTATCCTGCTGCAGAGTTTGTTATTTTCCGGTGGCCTAATAGGGCCACATGTGTAGACGCAGGATGTTTTCTGCAGAGCTAATTAGTCTACTTTGCAGTAAACATCTCATGTAGATGTGCCCACTTACTGCTACATTTAAGCAGAGTATTATGCATGAAGTCTTACTCAATCATCTCCTGCCATCAGCTGTTATTGGGGTTCTTGGTGTTTCATGCATTGTTCCTTCCAGTTATGGGTGAGGGTTCGAAACGGTGATTTGGGGATTCCTTTGGTGAATGATGGCCTAGAAACACACGGGACTGGACTCAAAATCTCAGGAGGCCCCTGCCAATCCTATCTGCCTAAATCAAATAATTGGGGGAAAATGCAGAAAAGCAGTAACTTCCACGCAGCAGTTTAGCCCTGGACAACAGTCACAGAATTATAGAAAATGAGGGTGCAAGGGACCTCAGGAGGTTGCATCTAGTCCAACCCCCTGCTCCAAGCAGGACCAGCTTCAGCTAGATCATCCCAGCCAAGGCTTTGTCTAGTTGGGTCTTAAAAACCTCCAAGGATGGAGACTGCACCACCTCTCTGGGTAACCTGTTCCAGTGTTTTACTACCCTCCTCATGAGAAAATTCTTCCTAATGTCTAACCTAGACTTCCCTTGCTGCAGCTTGAGCCCATTGCTCCTTGTCCTGTCATCTGCCCCCACTGAGAACAGCCCAGCTCCATCCTCTTCGCAACCTCCCGGCAGGGAGCTGAAGGCTGCTATTCAATCCCACCTCAGTCTTCTCTTCTACACCCTAAATTAGCCCAGTTCTCTCAGCCTTTCCTCAGGAGTCATGTCCCCCAGCCCCCTCACCATTTTTGTGGCCCTTTGCTGGACTCTCTCCAACATGTCCACATCTTTTCTGTAGTGGGAGACCAAAACCTGGACACAGGACTCCAGATGTGGCCTCACCAGTGCTGAATAGAGGGGAAGAATCACTGCCCTCGATCTGCTGGCAATGCTCCACCCAATGCAGCCCAGGATGCTGGTAGCCTTCTTGGGCACACTGTTGGCTCCTATTCGGCTTATTGTCCTGTCACCCCCAGATCCTTTTCTGTAGAGAAGCTGCCCGGCCAGTCAGCCCCCACCTGTCCTGGTGCATGGGATTGTTCTGTCATAAATGCAGGCCTTTGCATTTGTCCTTGTTGAATCTCATGGGATTCCTTTTGGCCCAATCTTCCAATCTAAGTTGCTCTGAAGTCTGCATCCTGCCACCTGCAGTTAATGCTTCCCAAAGAGTTTCTAAGTAGATAGTTTCTAGTGCGTGTTTGCTATTGCAGACCGCAGCTGAACCAGGGATTTGGGTCCGTTTGACATTGCTGGCGTGCAACTACCCCGACCTCAGGGGCTGAGATGACATCGCCAGGCAGCGAGATCCAGTTAGTACATTAGGTGCCATTTGGTTCTCAAATGAAAACGGCTGTAGAAGTGCAAAGGGTTTTTAGCACTAATGCCAGCTCCCTGCTGCTGCACCAATGCAGCTGTAAATGAGGAGCTTGTTGCCAGCTGGAATTCTTCGTAACACACAAAAATAACCTGATCCCCACATATTCCTTTGTGAAGATCAGCCAATTTCCCAACAGCCGAAATTCTTCCTTTGGGGGCCTGTCCATTGATTTCAATTGGAGCAGCGTGCATGTCTCTCAGAGGCAGAGTTTGGGCATGATGGTGCGAGTCAACGTGGAGAATCAATGAATGCAAACACCCTGCATGCACTAACTGGCTTCTTTTGTCACTCAAAGGTTGGGCTCTTGCCCAGGCTACATAGATACCCATAAAGTAATGCCGGGCTCTGCTAGCAGCCAGCTTGCTTGTGAGGAAGTGCTTTGAACTGTAATGTCAGATCCCTACTGGAAAGCAAAACCAGAACCACATGTCCTGTCCAAACCAAGGATACGTCTTGGTTTTCTAGCTCAGACACCATCATTTGCTTGCAGGCCCCAAGGAGAGCGTAATATTTCTTTCTTTCTCCCCCAGCTGTCACTCTCTGCAGACCTTGACTCTGGCCCAAAAACACCAGTTCGCCCAAGTTGGGCTACTCACCAGTCACCGGGGTATCCCGTTACCAAAGCAACGGCTAAGATGCTGGCTCAGAGCACCCGGTGGAATGCTGGGATACGACCAGCACCTGTCCGACCTCCAGTACCACAACTGAGTGAAAAAGGGAAGAAGGCCTTTACAAGGATGGACAGAAGTTTGCCAGGTTTGTGGGCTAACTTGTCTCATTCTGCAGCTGCCACCCAGAGTCGGACCCTCTGGGTTGGAGGCTGGGGCACTTTGCCATTATATTCCTCCAGGACAAAGCAGGCAGTGGGCATTTTAGGGCTAATTTACCAGCTCTTAAATGAGCACAGAACTTCAGGCCTCAAACGTAACAGTTTCCTATGGCATGTCTCTATCATGATGGTCTTCATAGTGTTCTGGATGCTAGCAAAGGCTTTCCCTGCGTTTGACTCCCATGTGGTCACCTCCAGGGCACAGAAGTTTCTTCAGAGCCTGAGTTGACTTTGACAGGATAGGCTGCAAACTGAGCCGAAACAGCTGGATTGCTGCTGATAGCCTAGGATATGGGTCACTCAGAACAAACTGGACAGTGACCATCCATTAGACACAGTGCTCCAGATTAGGGGTCGTTAACAGCATCCCTCAGTCTCCAAAGTGCAGGCAGTGGAATGAGGAATGTTTTGACCGTGCTTAAAAATCAGGTCTCAGTTTTTGTGGGTTAAAAGTAATCTGCACATGCCTTTGAATGTACATGTTTAAAGACAGGGGCATACGCGACTCCCCTGGATTTGTGCGGGTTGGGCGCCTACAGGCCTCTACAGTTGTGAGCCTTGGTGCGATTCTCACGATGGCTCCCCTTCCTGTTCCAGCATCTCCACTGTTTGAGGCTCAGCCCTGGCAAATTCCTCCGTCGAACCCAGGCTCGGATGCAGAGTAAGATGCTTAGCAAAGAAGGGGCTCCTATGCTCAGCATTTGGAAACTGGCAATCATGGCACTGGCCCTGCTCAGTGAAGACTGGAAGCTACTGACATTTATGAATCAAGTCTGAGGCCTAGTGGATATAACCTGATTTGTCACTTGTGCCAATATGAACCTTTTATCGCTGACCTCTGTATACCAGTGGAGAATGCCCTTTTTGGCAGTTCTGCCACAAGTTAAGCCCTGTGCCCTCCTGAGTGCCACTCTGATCTCCTTCCCCTGCCTAAACTGCTGCTCTGCTTTCTGCTCCCTGCCTTGCTTACCACTGGGCTGCTTTCCCCTCCCTGATCTGCCATGTACCACACACAGAAGCTGCCCTTGCCACTTGGGGCACACATGCTGCAGCCTGGCCACCCTTGACCTAACACAACAGACTCAGACTGGAGATGGGGGCACCTTGCTGTTACCCTAATCCAAATAAATGATTCAAAGCTGGGGTTACACCAAGGGCTGACCCAGTATATTGTTTCCTATCTTAGCTCTGTTCAGCATGTTTTCCTGTCTCTACTGCTTTGGAGCTGATGCCCCCTTCTACTTTGACTCAGGGCCTGTCTTCACTGCAGAATTGACACAGGTGATATCTGCCCAGGTCAAAGCATCAGGGGAAGCCTAGCCTGAGTGTGGACACACTGCAAGGCCACAGCTTTGCTGCTGCTGCTCCCCCATCCCCAGGCATGTGGTTGGGATGCCTGTGGGCACATCCCATGGCTCTTTGTGTTCATCTACTCTGGTGAATTATGGGAGAGCCAATCTGGTCTTCTAAGGAGCCATGGAAAGCACTGGAGGACCACTGCCCTTGGGTGACTTGGTCTCTTTGCTCACTACAAAATGGGTGGTGACAGCTGAAGTTGCATGTCCAGCCGTTTCTTGCATCCACCTGTGGAGCACAGGGACTGAGGCAGTGCATACGCGGACAGGCCACTGCTTGCACAGAGTGCCACAGATGCCTCCAGCTCTAGATTAAGGGGTGAGTAACTCAGTGCATCACCTTTTCCCATGCTTCTCCTACACCAAGGTCCCCACTTCTCCTATACCAGCCACCCATTTCCTTCTCCTGCAGACAGCTCCTTACAAGCTTCTTCCCGAGAAAGCTTTCCTGCATGGATTGCCTTATTATTAATGTTCCTTTGAGCCCTCTCAGGCCCAAACTACTGCCTCATGTTTGCTCCGGGGGATGAGCTCGATGGTCCCTGAGGTCCCTTTCAATTCTAGAGTTCTATGATTTTGACTATTTCAACTAATGGGGTCCAACCCATCTGGCCAGATGAGTGTTACAGGGCCAGTCCATGGGCCGGATCTGCAGTATAGAGCTGTCTCATCTGGGCTGGGCTAGAATTTGGCAGTGGCGACATCAATTGCTGCAGCTCCCAGTTCCACGGCAGCAGCTGCTTTTCCTATTGCCAAATATCTAGTCCTGCAAGCAGCCCCATGAGGAAGATGATACAGTTCTGTGCTCTGGATCTGGCCTGCGGGGCTCTCCATGGGTCTAGAAACTTGGTGGCAGGGTGAGTGATGACTGTTAATTGCTGTGACTCGGGAGCTGTGTCAGTTAAAGCTGCCTCCACTCACCCCGGTGTCAAATTTCCGGACCTGTGCAAGAGCCCTGTCGGCAGGCTGGATCCAGCTCATGGACTGTAGCTTGGTCATCCCTGAATTAGGCTGCAACTAATCTCTCTGTAGCAGGATCTCCAGCAATTGGTCCATGTCTAGATCTGGTAGTGGCTGAGTACATGACACACAGTAACACCTGGGCGTGAGGGACCATGCGGATGTGTTGCTGAAGCCACTGAGCAAGTTCAGTATAAATGCAATGTTCCCAGGTGCCTGACTATGCTCAAATGGAGCTGCTGTGGGTTTAGGCAGTAAGTTTAAATGCCTCTGCTGCTGAAAGTCCTGAATCCTGAGTGCTCACTGACTTGGAGGGAATGCATGGAATCCTGTGGTTTATAAAAAGCTCGTCTTTATGGTGCTGTAAAAGTAATTTAGAGAAGATCTTGGGGAACCGGAGTGGTCTACACTCGAAATAGCAGTGTAGCTGCACGTTCGTCTTAATTGTAACTGCTGCCAATTATGTTACTGGAATAAAACAGAGGAGCTAAATATTTGCTGCCACTAAGTATGCTTAAACGGTTTTGCGGAAGCGTTCTGCATGGAAATCTGGGATGAAGGAGAAAATGCAGGAAGAAGTGGTGTCACTGATCATGCTGCTTACAACAACACAGTGATGTGGACTGAATGGGATGCCACAAGGAAAGGACTTGAGCCAGGAAAGTCGTACATGAGCCTCTGAGCACACACCTGAGCAGATACCTCACTTAGCTACTCTCCCGACCACTGCCCGAGCAGGGAGAGGGATTTTACTTGTCTGCCTTCCCCATGGCAGGGGCACATGTTTAGAACAGGGGGCTCTAAGGTGGACCTGGGGCCATCCCAGTCTTCAGCAGAGCTCTCTTCTGCTCAGTGCCCATCCTGACCTTGCCTAGCACCAGCCTAAGCAAGCAGGGAAAGAGCAACAGCATACCCAATACCCAACAGTGGTGATGATAACCAGGGATCCTGGTTTTCTCTGTTTAAAAGTTGCAAATTTTCTGATAAAAATCACAAATTCTCTGATTAAAACCCCCCAAATCCACCATTAAAATGAAACACCACTCTGTATATAGGTCTCAACTGAACACAATGTTTTTTGATATATATACAGTTTTAAAGCAATTTGGAAACCTACCAATGCCTCAATCACTATAATAAAATATATTCTAAGTAACTGTAAAATCTGGTATTTGATTTTGGGTTTCTTATGGAAAATCAGAGCTTCCCCTGCCCCTTTAGCTCCCCAGGACATAGGTCCAGGCCCCGTACTTCCCACCCACATCCCCCCTGGCCCTGCTGGTGCCCCTCACTCCTCACCCACAGGCTTCGCCACCCCTCCCAGCTCTGCCAGAGGGGCCCCCAGCTGCCAGGGCTAGGGGGCCAGGGACCTGGGTCATCAGCCCCCTACCTCCCCCAGCAGCACCCAAGCCCTGGCTGCCACTCATGGGAGGCGGTGGCTGCTGTTGTGGTGGAGCAGAGTGCAGGGCCTGGCTCTCCCTCTCCCATGGATGGCATAGCCAGAGTGGAGCCCATGGAGGAGGTGGGGGCAGGTGTGGGCTGCCTGCTGTAAACTCAGGATCAGGCTCCTTGCCCTGCTGCCCTCCCCTTGGGGCCTCCACAGCCCAGCAGGTGGAACCCGGCAGAGTGGGACCAGGCAGGGAAGCTCGCTGCTGTCACTTGGAGCTCCACATTGCCCCAGTGAAGTGCCCCCTGCCCACCTAGCAGCAGCAAGGGGCACGACTCTGTGCTGCTGCCCCCACTGCTGCCAGGCAGGCAGGGGGCTCTTCGCTTGGGTGGCACAGGACTCTCAGCAATGGCACCTTCCCCTCTCGTTCCACTCTGCCCTGCCATGCTGGGTCCTGCCTGCTGGACTGTGGAGGCCCCAGAGAGAGGGGAGCAGGGCAGAGAGCCTGAGCCTGCAGCAGCTAGCCTGTCCCATGCACAGATTTGGGGGGCATGTGCCCCACATGCTTCCCTGGCAGTGTGTGCAGCAGTGGGGAGCTGGACTCACCTTCCCTGCCCCCTAGACGAGCCACCAAAGGCTCTGTCCTGCTCCCCACGGGGCCCATGTGGCTGCACATTCTGGCCCCAGACCCCACACACCATCTGGCTGGGCAGCAGCCCCAGCAGTCCCTGCTCCACTCCCTCCCTCCCTATGGGGGCCTCAATCTCCCTCTCCCTCACCAGACTTACCTGGCAGCCAGGTGCACGGGTGAGCGTGCACATGCATATGGCACCCCCTGCCCAACCGCCCTCTTCCCGCTTGCCCCAGCCCCTTGCAGGGTGGAGCTCTGCCAGCCTGCAGAGAGCTCTTTGCAAAAATGGAAAATCCATGTATATCTCCGTTCAAATGAAAAAGTCCACATTTTTCTTGGGTAAAAGGGAAAATCCACATTTGTTTTCCATTTTCCCACATCCCTGATGATATCTAAGGGAGATTCTTTTATAGCTCAAATTGTGGAGGCTGTTATTTAAAGAGCTGCAGGTCCCAAGTGCTCTTCTCCCTGTAGCAGGTGCACAGTGACATCAGTGCCTCTTGCTCATAACCACCCACCACAGCTCACTGCTGCTTGCCTCATTCTGCTCAATTTGTTTTTGTCTGCGAGTCACTTTGATCTTGGCTACCCCAGTGTGATTCCAGCAAAGTCAGGGCGGTTTCACTTGATTTGCATCTATGTAAATGAATCTGAATCTGGCCCCCATCTGCTTTACCTCTGAATCACTTGGCAATCCCAGCCTTTTTTAGCATCCTTTTGTTTCTTCCCTTTTTTCTGTCTATCATCTTCCTTCATCCTAATTTGCAAATTAGGATGAAAGAAGATGCAAAAGAGACAGGGAAATAGCACACTTGCAAGCATCCTTTCCACCACATGCTTCTCCTCCCGAGATCCAGCCCCTTTCAAATACACTTTATATCAGGTTCCGAACTGCTAGGTTTTTCTTCCCAATTGGGAAGTTTTTAAACTCACAGCAATGGTGGGATGGAGATTTGATCTGCTGCTTCCAATTAAAATACTGTGCTGCCACCTTGTGTTGTGCATTAGTATTACCAACCCTCTAGGTAGTAAATAGGTGCAAAAATGAAGTTCATTTCCTACTTATGAGGACGTTTTACCATCTTTAATTTTTTCCCTGAGCCTGATGAAGGGCATGTGACCCCAGAAGCTTGCAGAAAAAGATATATATATTTTTTGCAATTTCTCAGCTGGTCTAATAAAAATTATCATCCCTGAACCAAGAGTTCTAGTGTTTTGCATTTCTAGGCAGTACATAGAAATGCATATTAAACTTAAAATGTTGTTAGCCATAAACTGCATCACAACTGACCTATGAGGAAAGATCACAAGAACTACACACAGGCAGGCTATATGGATATCTATGAGCAGAGAAACTATTGATGAGTAGCTGGCAATCAACTGACAACTGGATGTAATTATCCAGGACCATAGCTATTAAAGACGGAAAGAAGCTGGTCAGCACAGCCGATACATCTTCTAATGTGTTTGTATAGGTCCTGACACAAGCCCCAAAGTTTGGCTGGTGCTTCAAACTTCTACCTAAATGTAAGTAAATCATGATAAATAATAACTAGGAAGAACGGGAAGATGTTGACAGGAGAATTTTGAAACCGATTATCAGGGAATAAGGAGGTTTCATAGTTTCATAGTTGGTAGGGTTGGAGGGGACCTAAGCAGATCATCAAGTCTGACCCCCTGCCATGGCAGGAAAGAGTACTGGGGTCAAACAACCCTGGCAAGGTGTTCATCCAGCCTCCTCTTAAAGACCCCCAGGGTAGGAGCCAGCACCACTTCTCTTGGAA